ATTCCATATTTCATAGTAATCATAATTAATTCGATTTTGGGACTAAAATTAAAATTTGAGATACATCTATAAAAGGGATATGCTATTGCTGCATAATTTGTTTTGAATGCAAAATATATAATTAGTTCACATTATTTCAAAAACTGTGTGCAATGTATTATGGATTTGTTTTAAGGAAGATCCGGTTGAGAAGAAAAAAAAACACAAAATATTTCGAAATTAATATGTACAATCTTTTGTTTAGATATTTCCGAAACTTTCTCTAAACGAAGGCCATAACGATAATTACTTATCATTATTTGAGTTTATTTCATAGTAAATATAAATATTTGTTAATATCTAATATCATTTTTTTAGAAATTGTGAAATAAAATTCAGTTTTATATTTCAAAACTTGTGAAAATATTATAACAAAACTGAGTCATAAATATTTGTATTTAATTTTTTTATGAAATTTTAAATTCAATTTTAAAATCCTCCATTGAAAAACTTTTTAAACGATAGTGTTTTTTATTTTGAATTAAAATGGTATTATTTTTCTTTTTATTTTTGATATACAATAGTTTATTAGGATTGATTGAGATAAAATTTTAGTTGGATATCAAATCTTATTTTTTCAATTCTCAGTGGTTAACAATTTTCTAGAATTTTTTTTTTAATTTCCGTCCATAATTAATATGAGAGAGAAGGTGGGTTTAATTTATTAGAAACTAATAATTACTTTAAAGAATTTTACTATTTTTTATTTTAAAAAAGAAACAATGGCATTTTTGTAATACTTTACACTTTATAAAGTTATTTATGTTTGAGTGCTTCCCAATTAATAGTATAGATTATATATTTTGGACTGATAAAAAGTAACTGAAAATATGAAAAAAATACAATTAAAAACTCGAAAATATCATTTATTGTTATACCGAAATAACTAAAATACTTAAAATAAGCAAAATATCTTCCAACCAAATTTTATACAAATTTAACTATTTTTTTAATTTATTTCGATAATTCTAAAATAAATGGATCCGAACCTCGAACAAAAAGTTTAAAATATTTGAAAGGGTTATAGATGCTTCAATCTAAAATAAATGGTACCGAACGGGTGAAGTCAATGTTTAGAGTAAAGATATATGTGTCGGTTTCGGAAGCATTAAGTTTTTAAGTTGGTCAGAGAACATACAAATTTGTGGGGTTTAATTATGTTTATTGTTTTGTGTTATTGTTTGTATAAAAAAACAATACGAGTAAGAATGGAAAACAGTTTGCGGAGTAATAATTATCAAGAAAAAAAGAAGATGTTAATAATTGTGGATAATATATAACCGTCTATATAGATACTAAGCAAGCTTTTGTAAAAAGAGCTGAAGTAATAATAGTGGATAATACATAACCGACCGTCTATATAGATCCTAAATAAGTTTTTCTAGAAAGAGCTGAAGTTATAACTGTGGATATATATATATATATAAGTTTTTGTTAGCTATCCGTAGATCACTATTGGACGATCTTCATCTTTCTCCGAATTATACTCTTCTTTCTAGAAAGAGGTGGAGAAAAGTGAACTCTAGACGATGCGGTAGTGCACGACAGCCAAGGTTCCATGGCTGTCAGGGAGAAAAGGAAACAAGTAGTTAGTATTAAAAATAGGTATATAACAAAATTGTTTTCCCTGGGAAACTTACAGCTGAGACCTGCGGTGGACCCTCCGCCGATATGCTTCATTCACAAAATTGGTACTCTCCGTATACCTCACACCATCCAGGGTCCCTCTATGTGGATAAATTCAAACTATATCATGAAATCATTTCATGAATTTCAAATTTCAGAACAACAATAAAACTATATCATGAATCGAAATCAAATCAGACTATCAAACTTAATTTCATGCAACGAAATGAAGCTATCAAACTTAATCTCAGGAATAATTTCATGAAATTGAATCGGAAACAAATGATTAAAGCATATGATGAATCGGAAAGAAATTTTAGATAGCCATACCGTGATTTTCATGGATTGTCTGGAGATTGTACCAGCCTGGTCTACGGAGAGGGCCAATAGGGCCAATATGAGGAGGAGGATTTGGTGCCGCCATTGTTGAGAGGAGTAGAGGAAGAAATTAGAATCTGCTGGAGAGAATTCAGATGGATTAAAATGAGAAAGTTTAGAAAGTTTTTAGGAGAAGAGAGGGAGATATTTAAAGAGAAGAGGGAAAATCTTTCGGATGTGAAAAAATTTGAAATGGGCAAAAATCCCATAGGAACAACCTAGTGTAGATACAGTGCACCCAAACTTATCTGTGGGGTAAAAAAAGAAAAAGTAAAAACAAATTACTTACGGTGACATCGACGATGAACGATGACTCTCCGCGAATAGAGAAAATGATCGGCTCCATTGGCCTGAACATCGACGGACGACTATAACGCAGCGGCTGAACGGCGTTTCTGGAGGACGCAGCCCATCGGAATCGAAAGAGAGTGCCAAATTCGAAAGTTTAGAACACGGCATTATTTTTCAGATCTGTTCGAGAGGAGAAGAAGACGAAGGTGTGTGGGTGGATATGAAAGATGTTATCTTTCTTTTATTTTACGAAAACCTAATTTGGGAACAAAGCCAAGATGGGCTCATGGGCTTTTGCCTATTTTTAAAGGATCCTTAGCCCTTTTAAAACAATTCTGTTTACAAATATAATACTTGTCTTTTTTTAAACAAAATCAGAAGTTACTAAACATGCAAATCAATATACTCAATGTAAAGTTGTGTAGAACCAAAAAAAAAAAAAAGAGTCAAGTTTACTTCTCACTTGTCCAAATTATATTAATCAATTTTGGTCCATATTATAAACGTACGACACACCAATAATACAATAATAACCGATAAAATTATCGCAACTCTAGCAATTTCTTAACCGCCCATAAAGGTTCAACATTATTTTAATCTAATATGTGTTTTGTTTTAACGTACGACACACCAATAATACAATACTAACCGATAAAATGAAACATGGCAATTTCCATTAGGATTTATACTGATCCATAGAATGGAACTTAGGCTTGTATTAATTTTTAGACATTAAGGTTGTGGGTTTCTTGTAAAGAAAATATAATGCTCAAGGGGCTAAGAAATTTGTCTTCAGAGGTTTTTGGATCGTGTATAGATCCTTGAATTAGTGAATTTTCTGAGTATATTTTTGCGTCTTTAAATTTTTTTCCTTAATCCGTATTGTCCTTCTTTGTATCCGAAACTTTTTCAACGCCTTAGACACTAGACAAATATGTTATCACAGTCATTGACCGATGCAGATCCAAGTAATTATTGCTTAGTGTTCCCACCTCCATTTCTAAATCCAAACGTTAAGTAACAACAATCTTAAACTGGATTTTGAACCATACTTTTTGTAATGGGTTTTCAAGTATTGCAAGTAGTGGAAGTTGTAATGCGAGAGAGTGAGGAACATGGTAATTCTGGGAATCAATTGAGATAGCACAAGTGAATTTTTTTTATCTCATTTCTTGTTTTTATAAGGAGGCCATTTAGCAAGTTTTGACACTAATTGCCTATTCTTTCACAAGATCAATGGATAACTTCTAACCTTTTTGTTTCTTTTTTATTGATAAATGCGCTTAAAGTTTTAACCTTCTTTTCTCTTTTTTTTTTTTTTTGCAATGTCTTACTAATACTTGCTCACATGAACCTTTGTGTTGCGTAGATGATCTTCGTTACGTATCTCATAAGGTTTTGTTTTAGAAAAAGGTGACTTGGGAAAATTTACGACTAGAAATGTATTTGAAAGATTGACCCTTAAACGTAGACCTTTAGTAAGGTTTGAGCTAGAGATAGTAACTATTCGTGAGAAAGAAGTCGTTTGTTTAGAAAACGTTAGTTTATATTTACTTAAAAAATGTAGTTGATGGATCAAACTTTCGGCAAATTAAAGATTTGGCTTCTTCCATGGCTTTCTTGAATAATGCGGCGGATGTATTGCTACTAAAGTGGTCAGCTTGGAGAGTGTTACAGAAAATAGAAACTGTAACATTCTTTCGAGCACATGAAACAAAAATCTTCATACTCTACTCTCACGAAAGTGTTTTCCCGGAGGAGAGAAAAGAGATTTGGTAAATTATAATACTTATTGTTTTGTTTTGTCTATTTAGTTATTTAAACTGTAAAATTTTAAAATAGGTCATTTACATTGTAAAACAAAGCAAAGGTGAAAAAGAAGAAGTAAATAATAACAAAGAGAATGAAAGGTGCGGATCGGATGGAATAAGCTTTTTATTTTACTTTTATAACGACACATAATAACAAGAGGATCAAAAGTTGAATAATCACTACAGTAGATATAAATTTTGATTAATTTTTATTTAACAAATGATCTGATTCTGTTGACTTTTTAAATTAACCGAGTTATACAATTCCGCTTAGAGAAATTATATATATAATTGTTGTGAACTGTGTATTTCATTAATAGAATAAGGGATATATATACAAGGATAATAGCAGGATACAGAGAATAAGGTAAAACCCTAATGGGCCATGGGTCGGTTATGGAGTCCATCTATATGGTTTATAACACTCCCCCTTGGAAGACATAACCGTGCCCGATACTAAACCGGGATCTCTATAATGCGCTGGGGAATGTTGCCTCATTAAAACCTTACCAGGAAAACCCAGTGGGACAAAACCATGGTGAAGGAAAAAGAGTACAACACGCATTACTCCCCCTGATTTGAGCATCACTGTAGATCCTTAAGTCCGTGCATCCCGATCTGATGAATGAGCTTCCGGAACGTTGAAGTCAGCAATGATTTGGTGAATAGGTCGGCTGAATTCTCACTTGACAGGATCTGTTGAACTTTGACCTGACCGTCCTTCTGTAATTCATGAGTGAATAAGAGCTTTGACAAAATGTGCTTCGTCCGGTCTCTCTTAGTGTAGCCGTCCTTGAGTTGAGCAATACAGGCTGCGTTGTCTTCAAATATGATGGTCTTTGATGTAGTAGTAGCTGCGCCTTAAGGAAGGCTGCCTACGTACCCTTGGAAGGGATCAAGCCACACGTAGTTCCTATTCATTGACCATGCCATAATCTGATCTTATGAATAACCTGCATCAGCAAATCAAACTAAACCAAAGCAAACTGGACCTTCTTTAGTTAGATCAGTATAGAATAAACCCAAGTAAACAACGCAGGAAGAATAAACTTTAAAATTTAACCAAACCTTCCTTTAAACCTTTCCAGTGCCTTTGGGTTGATCATGAACTAAATTTAGACAGGAGACTCACGGCAAAACAAATGTTTGGTCTAGTGTGTCTAGCCAAATTCATTAGAACTCCTATGGCACTGAGGTATGGCATTTTCGGACTGAATGGATCACTATCCAATTTGAGGCTTCTCACCACCATTGGGCCTGGTCAATGGGCGGGCCTGGTCCTTATTAAATTTCCTTGAGTACTCTTTCAGTGTATGCCATTTGATGCACAAGGATTCCATTATTCACGTACTCAGGTTGTTATCCCAAACAGAACTTAATTATTGCCTAGGTCTTTCATTGAGATTCTTTCTTTAGATATACTCAACTGTTTGGGCGATTATCCAGAGGTTTAAATCATTCATATACACTGCTATGATTACAAATCCTTTGTTTGCAAACTTCTTGATAAAAATACATGGACTGATCGGATCGTTTTTATAGCCTTCTCTGATGAGATATTCGCTTAACCGGTTATACCACATACGTCCGCTTTGTTTCAGTCCATATAAGGATTTGTCCAGCCTTATGCAGTGCTGTTCTCGAAAATCTTTCTTATCTTTGAGCTCAATACCCTCTGGTAATCTCATATATTATCCAGTGGACTTATATAAATATGCAGGCATTACATCCATTAGCCGCAAATCTTTTTCTTTTATATAGCCAGAATTAGCAAAAATTTAAATGTCTTAGCATCCACCACAGGGGAGTATATCTCCTCTATTTCTGGTCTTTGTGTGAATCCTTGTGCGACAAGCCGTGTCTGATATATCACGCTTTCACTATGTTTATTTCACACTATCACAAAGACTCATTTGTCCCACTGGCTTTACATTGAATGGTGTCCTTTGTATTGGACCAAACACATTCTTCTTCTTAATGATTCTTAGCTCCACGTTTTATGGTCTTGTACCATTTTAATCAATCAGGTCTTTGAGTGCACTCTAGTATAGACGTGGGCTCCTGATCCTCATTCATTTCAGTTGCTACCTTGTGCGCAAATATATTATCATTTATGTCGACATTTTTTCGGTTCCATTGTATTCTAGACATGATATAGTTTATAGAGATCTCTTTACACCTTCAGGACCTTGAGGTTTGGCGTCCCAAACCTCATTGATTGGTACCTTAGGGTTATGTCTATTAGCCGGCCATGTCTATGGTTTCTTGAACCTTCTCGGTTTCCCTTGCACCTTTCTTTGATTTCCGAGGGTTCTTGTCTTTGGAACCTTTTGGGTCTACCACGTTTCTTACGTGTTGTAGCCTCTGTAGCAACTTGATTGTGTTCCTTGTGAACATCAATACGTACTGGTGCATTACAAGCTGGTATGTACGATTTTGTTACTCTCTTTGGGTCATTATAGGAATCTTGGCAACTGTTTTAGCTAGCTTTTGCAGATATATAGTCTTTTGGATCTCTGATGGAGTCCGAGGATCTTGCCATGTGAAGGATGTTTGATTCCATGTAAGTTCTTTGACCAGCTTGTTAGTCTCTCCACCCAGTGTTGGGAAAACAGATTCATTGAGATGACAATCCTTGTATCTGGCCTTTGGCTCGAGATACTTAATGATGGTGGGAAAATCATTTTTAACGTATATTCCCATCTCCTTTTGAGGTCCCATCATTTGCTCTCTGTGGTGGTGCTATGGGTAAATAGGTGACACACCCAAATGTCTTTAGATGGGAAACGTCTGGCTCATGACCCGTTAGCAATTAGGATGGGGAATATCTATGCTCATTAGATGGCCGAATGCGTATTAGTTCAGCAGCGTGTAAAACTGCATGTCCCCAAGCTGAGACCGGAAGCTGCGACCTCATGAGTAATGGTCGAGCAATTAGTTGAATTCGTTTAATGAGGGATTCAGCTAATCCGTTCTGTGTATGGACATGTGCCACAGGATGTTCCACACTTACCCCATGGCCATACAATAGTCATTAAATGCTTGGGAAGTGAATTCACCAGCATTATCTAAACGTATGGTCTTAAGAGGAAAATCTGGAAAATGGGCTCGCAATCTGATCATTTGGGCCAATAACCTAACAAACGCTTGGTTCCTAGAAGACAATAGGCAAACATGCGACCAGCGGGTCGATACATCGATTAAAACCATGAAGTACCGAAATGTTCCACAAGGTGGATGGATCGGACCACATATGTCTCCTTGAAGTCGTTCTAGAAAATGTAAGGTCTCTTTAGACACTTTGACTGGTGAAGGTCGAGTGATAAGCTTCCCTTGTGAACAGGCTATGCACGTGTGGTGCTTAGGGAAAACTCGGTTTTCTTTAAGAGTGTGCCCTTTAGAACTTTGAATTAATTTACGCATCATATTCGAACTGGGCTGGCCAAGCCGGTCATGCCATTAGTGAATTTCTCAGTAAACCCTTATTTGT